GCATTCTGATGTTGAGTTTTCTGTCCTCCTGACATCCTCAGAGTGGTAGACTTTGGAGTAAAACATTTCAGGTTGGAGTATTTCTGCTTTAAGACATATATCAGCAACCCATGGCCACCATACATATGGCGTGTGGCTAGTGACTTACTCCCCTGCTGGCTAGTTTTTGTAAGGTGAAATGCCTTTACACAGTCAGCCAAAGACAAAGCATGTTGATGAAGTCATAAATCTGGACAGGCTTCTGTCCTTAGCATCACTGGTAACACATTGGAGATTATACTTAGCCCCCAAAGCCAATGGTTGTCACTAGAGACTGATAGTATAAGCACTTATGGTGGAGTTTCAGATCACAGGACGTCATAGTTTCAGCACAGACTGAATGGCATATAACTGTGGATGTCTCAGAGGGTACAGTGTTCAAGCTCAGTACAAAGCTTCTGGAAAAGTTCTAATCTGTTTAGGAAACTACCTGCCAAGTACACTGTATTGAATGAAGGATAATGAATGTTCCATCTGTTAACCATGGGAGGGACCTCTGCAAGACTTCCACAGATATATGGAAGTTCTGGAGGAGACTGGAGTAGCAAGGAAAGCAGGCAAGAAGACAGTAGAAGTTACTTGGATGTAGGAGCTACACCAGTAATAGTAATTGGCTACCACAGAAGTGTACTGAACAGCATATTGTGGACAGGTCATAGAGCAGAAAGAGGTCCAGTTTGAAATAAAATGGGGATGACAGTTGTCAGTAGCTGAACATTTGTAACTGCCTTATTTGGAAAAGACTCGTTTTTATGTTTTTTAGTTGTTAGAAACTATTTGTATTGAAAAAGTTACTATCTTCATTAATACGTATTAGGCCAGGATGTTTAGAAGACCAGTTTGGAATCTGATCAGTAGTGGTACCTAAGACATAAATCTGATGGTGACTTCATCTAGATCTTATCCCTAGGAGAGTCAGCTTGTGTTACTGATTTTAATGAGGACACCTTCCTTCCTCCCTCCCTCCCCCCTCCCTTTCTTCCTTTTTTTTTTTTTCCTAAAACAGGGTCTTTTGTAACGTAGAGTGGTACCAGACTCATATAGTTAAGGATGGCCTTGATCCTATGATCTTCCTACCTACACCTGCCATATACTGGGATTAAAGATCTGTGCTGCCGCCATCCCTTGACTCTGTGGGGTACTTTTACTACCTGAGGCATCTCTAGCCAGTTTTTCCAACTTAAACTTTTTTAAAAATGTATTTATTTATTTTTGTAGTGCATGCATTTGTGTGGGCTGTGGTGGCCACAGGCGTGCTAAAGCACATGTGTGGAGGCTGGAAGACAGCTTTTGAGAATCCTGCAGTGTAGGTCCTGAAGATCAAGTTGATGGCATTCAGGCTTGGCAGTAGGCATATGTAGTACTTGATGTGTAGAACTATCTTATGGACCGTATTCTACAGCTTTAATTATCCACATTTCTGCATATCACAAAGCTGAGATAAATTGAGATCCTGTGACAACTAGGTCTTAACTAAAGTAAGGACATATGAACCCCAGCCCTGGGGAGGCTGTTGGGTAGAGTCTACAAGCTAGGCCATGTGCAGAGTGGGCAGAAGGCCTGCCATAGCAGGGACTCTATTCTACTTGCTTGTAGAAATATGAATCCCCTGTACTCCCATCTCCTTATTTGTAAGTGTGCACAGGACATGTCAGTTTTTAGGAACGTAGCATGCAGCTCCCAGTCTGTGATAGATGAAGACTAGTGACCAGCCTGTCTGTCTGCCTGCCTGCCTGCCTGCCTGCATAGTACTTTCTATCCCACTGTTGTTATGGTTTGCCATGTCCTCATGCTTCCCTGTTCTTGTAACCACAGATGTGATGATGTGCAATGTAGCCAGCAACTAAAATAGGTGATTCTTAGAAGACTTGGAGGACACCAGGCTGGCCATTTAGCCACATGGATATGGTAGGGGTACTGAGACTTAGCTGGTTTTTGAGTACTGGAGCCTCTAGAAAAGAGTTTGGCAGGGTGTATCTGCTGCCTTACCACAGAATGTCTGCCTTTCCCCTGCTGCTGTACATTCATGGCACCTGGTACATGGCCACTGCTCACCAGTGCACTCCATTGTCTCCAAGTAAGTCTAACAGGGTTTTTAATTTATACTTCCTGCTTAGTAATAAAGTTGATCAGCTGAAATTCACTTAATTTGGATTTTCTCCTTAGTGAATCTCTTTTCATCACTTACAGCAGAAGTGGGCAACGTTTCTCTCTAAAAACCCAAGTAATATTCTGGGCATAGCTGGCCCTGTGATAGTAAGCAGAGCAACACCACCCCATCTTGAGAATTTGAGTTTGCCAAGCCCTGGTCCCAGATAACCCTAATGTGTTGTAGATATGTGCTTCTCAGTTCATAAAAGAGTCACATAACTCAGTGATGTAATTAATTAGAAAAAGGAATGAATACCCCTGACCTCAGCATATGAACATGGCATCACATACTCTGTTGAATGTTAGCTTCCTGGAGAGATTATGAGTAAGGGTGAGCCAGTGTCACCCTAGCACTCAGAGTATGTCTGTCATTTGTTTTAAAGTTTAAGATGCTTTTTTTCATCATTTTATTGTATAGTAGGAACTTGAGGCCTTTTCCTGAGACCCATGAAAATGGCATGTTCCTCGTGTGCAGTTTTCTTCTCCTTCAAGGAGCCCTGCACAGCTGGGAGCATCGTTTTCCTAAATGCTGAGGACCAGCTGTTGTGTGAGAGCCTAACTTCTCATGGGCTGCCTGCCGATGGGCGTCCTGGTCACCTCCACCTGAGACTTCGGGGAGCTGTGCTTGTTCACTTCTGAGTTCTTGAGCAGTCATGTGTTAGTGTTTCCTTCAATAGAGTTGTCTCCTTACAGTTGTTTAGGATTTCTGAAAATAACGTTGGGTGATTTATCAAATCATTTTTATGTATCGTTGGGAAGAGTATACGTTCTTCTACCTTTACCCTTTGCTGTAAGGGATGTGTTTCCTCATACTGTTGCCTACCTGTATTCCTGGGATATACCTAACTTGGTCCCGAGTGACTCTCCCTTTGTATACTGATAGATGAGGGTGGCAGGTGCTCTGCTTAGGGTCAGGCAGGTCTGTTAGTTTCCTTCCAGATCTCATCTTGCTTGAGTTTGGTGTATGGCTAATAGTTTCATAAAGGGAGTTAGAGATACCTTCTTTAGCTGTGCATGATGGTTCTAGGAATCTGTACTCAGGACCTGGTGCAGGGTAAACAAAGCGTGTTCCAGCTCTGAATTCCTTTACCAGCTGAAAGGATGATTTGCTCTTAGATATGGTAGGCTTACAGAGCCAGAGTTTTAATTGAAGAAATTTTTGTGACTACTTATTCAGTTCCCATAATAGAGAATATTTTTGGTTTTCCTTACTAGTCTCAGTTCAGTCTTTACCTCTTAGAAATTTATTCATTTCATACAAATGTCATTTAAAAAAAAAAAAAAACATGTAAACCAGGTATGGTGGCACACAACTTTAGTCACTGGAATTAAATACAATTGCAAAGCCAGGTGTAGTGGCTTATACCTATAAGCCCAAGACTTGAGAGGCTGAAGCAAGAGAATCACTGCAACTTTAAAGTCAGCCTGGGGTCCACAGGGCGTTTTAGGACAAGACTACATAGTGGAGCCCTATTTCAAATCAATGAATGATACACTCTGGTTCTTCTGTCACAGGAGCAACCAAGTTTCAAGGGACAGGAGTTTCAAGTGGTTGGTGGCCTCCATACTAGGCAGGGACTAGTTTAAGACAGACATGGCCTTGAGTTGACTTCCCTTCTTCCACTAAATGTTTCTGTCAGTCAATCCTCCCTTGGTTTATTTGATAGGACATACTTACTCCCTTCTACCGTTTCCCCGTCCTCATTTTGTACAAGTCTTCTGGGTTTATTAGTCAGTAAACAAATGCAATTCTGAGGCTGGAGAGAAGGCCTTGTTCTCCCAGGGATCTTTCTTAGCAACCCATTAAGCAGTTCATAATGGCCTGTAACTTCAGCTTCAGGGCACTCAGTTCCCTCTTCTGGCCTCTGTAGGCACCTGAACACACCACATACATTCCCACAAACAGACTGGAGTGTGCATGCACATGCACAAATAAAAAATTCTTAAAAATGAAGTTTTGGAAGGTATTTTAAAGGTGGAATTGTCTGAGTTGTATTTAAGACAAAGTTCATTTAAGTACATGTTAGGGTACACTGCCTCCAGGATGTGTGTAATTAGTCCTTAAACTGCAAATACCTGCAGTCTTGGTATTGTTCTAGTTAAAACTGTAGGCATCTTACCAAGCTCTTCACCAGCAATCCTTGTTCAAGGGCAGTAGCAAGGAATCCACAGCCAGGATCCTAGGACCTCTCAGAGCACCTTAGTCAAGAATCAGAGTACCCGCGTAGTTATTCTTGGGAAGTCCCAGATCACTATATCAGGATTTCTCTAGCTGCTGCCCATCTCTGTACCTGGCATGAATACCTGACTCATTTGGCTTAGCCCACTGACCCTAGCATGATACAGTGCCCACATGGGCCCAGGACATAGTTACTGAGTGGGTGACAAGTCTGTGATTGGGAGAGATAATGGCTTAGTTTGGGTGTGAGGATGTGGACATTGCAGGTGTCAAATTAAGCGAGCAAAGTGCTGCTCATCACCCTCGTGAGGTTTCTCAGGTCACCCCTGAAACCTACTGATACTGGAGCTTCTACAGATACCCCATCCTGCCTCTCGGGCCCTAAAGCAAATACTGGAGCCACCATCTCTTTCCCTTATACCATTAGCTATGTATTTGCTCTGTATTAGGCCAGGGCTCAGGAAATCTGGTAGGTGTCTCCTCTGAGGTGTCTTTACTATCATTCTCACTTGATGATTTAAAGCAAGTAAATAAGCAGACATGTTTAACCAAACGATCCTTGAGAGTTCCTAGAGGGTAGAAGTTGAGGCAAGATCCTCTCATGGTGACACCTGTCTCTGCTTCTCCACAGACTTCACAATGTAGCCCCGATTCCAGACTGTCATTCACAGGTAAGTGCAGCTGAAGCTTATCTTCCTTTTGGGCTACCTGTGACTCAGTATGGTGGCTACCTCATATTTTCTTGAAGTTTGTTCTCTAGCAACTATCATTGGAGTTATTTGTGCTTCTTGCTTGTCTTCCAGCATTTCTGGTGGGCTCTGTCCCACAATTTAATATGTAGAACTTATCTAAGATGTAGTAGTAAGGGTTTAATGTGGGTTTGTGTGCAGGACTGGTATCAGTGTGCTTTGAAGTAACAGCACTATCTTTGTGCTAGAAAATGGAAAAGGAACAGGGGACAGAAGGAAGGTGCAGAAGCCAGCCAGAATTCAGAGTAAGGAGGGATCATCACCTCCACTTGGTGGCCTGAAGCCTCCATGACACCGAGTGAGGAAGGACACACAGACATCCAGAGGAGGTGAGGTCTGGGATTCCTCCAAGAGGCTTTGCCATCTAGGGGAGGGAGGTCTTGGGTCTGTCTCATGAGTGAAGATTTTGGCCTTCTTTATATTCTGTACATACTCTCTAGAGTACCGTTAATTAAGGGTTGGGTAGGTGTCCAATATTGATCCATCAGTTGCCTAGGAGAGGTGCATGGTTAGAAGTGGTACTATGATCAGAGTGGACTTTGTTGGGGCTATTTGGCCACACATGCTCAGCCCTGAGTATAGTGTCTAAAAGGCAGCTGGTGCAAAGCAAGATCTAGGTGGTGACTTGGTGGATGTCTCATAAATTAGTTTCCTCGGACATTGAGTGGACATTTAACTGTTCCCTCTCACAAAAAGGACAAAGATGAGGATGGCTAAATTCCTGAAGTGGGACTGGACCCAGATGCCAGATGTAATATTCAAAGGCCACATGGTAGATACAGGTCAAAGTAGCTGGTGATTAGGTTGGATCCACAGGACCTTATCTAACTTCCTTTGGAGCTCTGTATCTTCTTGGTAGACACTAGAGTGGCTAGTGGCAGTCCCTTGAGTTAAGGTTTAAACTTCACTTACCATTGAGATCTGAGGCGGATTGCTGTTCAGTGAAAGGGTGAGATGAGATGGGCCATGTGTCCAACAAAAAAGGCTGGGATGTAGTAGTATACCAGCTACATCTGGTAGGAAGGGGACATACCTGGTGTGTTAGAGTTCTAGAGAAACAACGGGCTGGGGTGGGGGAGGGAAGGGGAAAAAAAGAGGAGGAGGAAATGGATTTCATTACAGGGTATAGTCCAGTTAGTTCAACAATGGCTGTCTCCCAACAGAAAGTCTAAGAATCTAGTAGTTGTTTATGGCCCGTGGGGCTGGATGGCTCTGCTGGTCTTCAGTGTACACGGGCATCCCAAGGAAGTAGACACCAGTGCCAGTGAAGGGACAGACTTGCCAGGGAGAGCAAGCGGACAAAAAGACAGCTTCCTTCTTCTATATCTTTTTGTGGCCTAGAGTAATCTTCCCATCTCAAAAGGTATGGATTAAAGGTGGATCTTCCCACCTCAAAAGATCCAGATTAAAACTGGGTCTTCCCACTTCAAATGATTTTTTTTTTTTTTGGTTTTTTCAAGACAGGGTTTCTCTGTGTAGCCCTGGCTGTCCTGGAACTCACTCTGTCGACCAGGCTAACCTCGAACTCTCAAACTCAGTGCTGGGATTAAAGGCGTGCGCCACCACCGCCCGGCTCACTTCAAGTGATTTAATTAAGGAAAATAAAAATTACTCACAGCTATATCTCAGCCACTTGGGTTTTCTTTAATTCCAGATGTTGTCAGTTTGATAACCCAGATTAGTCATCAGAGTTACCTTAAATACATCAGTGTATTTCTCTTGTAGAAGCCAAAGATGTTGACCAGGAAGATTAAACTCTGGGACATAAATGCCCACATCACCTGCCGCCTGTGCAGCGGCTACCTCATTGACGCAACCACAGTGACTGAGTGTTTGCACACGTGTGAGTACGGCCAGTTCTACCCTGAGCTGAATGGGGTGGGGCTGCTCTAACACATTCCTTAGGGCTTTAGCCTGACACAAGGGCAACAGGGCCAGGAGAAGAACAAAGATCTTGAGTGGGGATTAGAAAGCTTTCCTTAAAGGAAGGATGTTGTGGTTGATTCCCTGGAGTGTGGATTCTCCTCTCAGGAAAACTACCCTTTTTTGTTGGTGGTCTGTCAAGTCAAGTCAGCCACTGGTAGTGCTTGTGCTCTCAGATTTCAGGTGAAGTAATTTCTTTTTGACAATCAAACAACTGCAAGGTTTCAAGGGTCAGTGCAGTACTCATTGCATGTTACTTATTCTGCCTGTCAGGTCTGGACCTATGCAGGGTGTTTGTTGTTATTTTAGTTTTTTGGTTTTTGGTTTTTTTTAATCTTTGTGTGTTTAGCCTGCATGTATGTATATGCACCACATACTTGCAGTGCTGGCAGAAGCCAGAAGAAGGTGTTGGATTCTGTGGAACTAGAGTTGCAGACGATTGTGAACCATCATATGGGTGCTAGAAACCAAACCTAGGTCTTCTGCAACAGCACCTAAGTGCTCTTAACCACCAAGCTATTTCTCCAGCCCCATAAGATTTTTTTTCTTATTTTTTCTCTCTCACTGGAAGACAGTATGGAACATCTGTATAAAGAGCATTGAGTGACCACTGAGAGGCAGTTCATGAAGTTAAAAACTCACAATACATATAACTTCCATCCAATACATTTTTCATTTTTGAAAATGTTTTCCACTTCTGAAGAATTTTTAGGCCGAGATAATCGTGTTAGAAATTGGTGGTACAATTTTGTGTTAGTCAGTCACAGAATGTTACCTAGTTTTGCAAGACAGTGTTGTCAACTTTTATGCCAAAATACAGATTTTTAAAATATTAGTTATATTCTCATGATCTTGTCATTTAGTGACTTAGCCACCCTTTGATGTTTCTTCCCCATTAGTTCCTAGGCTAGGGCTGTGTAACAGATGGTAATGGCACAGCACAATCCAAGGGCACTCCCTTTTCAAAGGTCTGGAATGCTGTATTTCTACAGTTGTTTATGAAAGTGTCCTCTTGGTCATCTTGGAGTTGACTGGACATAGTACCAGCCAGAACCTTTCTTCTGGTTGCTATCATTCTCTCCCTTTGGATAGTCTGCAGGAGCTGTCTGGTGAAGTACCTGGAGGAGAATAACACCTGCCCCACCTGCAGGATCGTGATCCATCAGAGCCACCCACTGCAGTACATCGGGTGAGTAAGAGCATGGTATCTGTACATCTGCATGGCGGTGGCTGCCTTGTTCTTGGTCCTCAGATACTACACTGCAGGTGACCAGGGCATGGCAGTGGATCTCCAGCAGCACCTGCCCTGGGGGACCATGAGAACAAGTGGAATCTTATAAGTTTTCTTAAACTGAAAGTTTGAAGTGAATGAGACCCCAGACCTACCTTTCTTTAGGGTAGTAATTTGCCTCTAGGCTGGAACTTCAGCCAAAGAAGTAAGGGCCTATGAGTGGGATTTCTGACTTCAAGAGCCACTCGGGAGGAAATGAAATCACAAATACATATGGCATGAGGGCATCTGAGAGAAGATGAACTAAAAGAAAGAGATGCACAGCTTGAAGTCACATGTCCAACTGGGAGCAATAACATTACAAGTTGAGTTGTTGGACCTTGGAAGACAACCCTACCAATGTCACTGTTTCAGCTTCCTGTATCGAGATGAGAGTGTGTTTTCTGTGTTTCTAACTTCATTGCCAGATCATCTCTTCACACAGATCTGCATCAGGCCTGTGTGGTGGGCACACGGAATGTCTAGCAGCTCTTGTTGTCTGGTCCTGTCCCGAGCCCTTGGCAGTGTCCCGTCTGTGGAGTGGGTGGATGACATCTGATGTAGGAAACTTCTGTCCAGATTCCCATTGGCTCTTGAATCAAGTTCCTGTGCTTTGTGTTCTGGCCAGTGCTGTATGGTGGTAGGTTTTTAATTCTGTCACCATGGTGTCTCCAGACACACCTCAGCCCACTGCCATAGTTATGTCTAAGCTTTGTGCCTTCTCATACAACTGCTTTGTGCCTTCCCATACAACCGCTCTCTGTTGGGACTTCCTTGTGATACCACCTGTCTTAGGGCTCTGTTCTGCTTTTTCTGTCCTCACATGCCTTGTGACAGCACAAGGTGTGTCACCTGTTTTCTTTCTGGTGTGCACTTTTGTAGCACTCAGAAGCAGGTTCCTTATTTGAACCGCTGACGGGAATGGTGAGGGGGCTTACTTGGGGCTGGGAATTGGAGGCAGGGTTGCTGGAGTTTGCTGTGGAAGGCAGAACACAAAAGAGCTGTCTTGTGGGCAGACCCTCTCATGGAAGCTTAGATTTCCATGCAGACACAGAAGAGACCTGAGGGAGGGGCACAGCAATGGACCAGGTGTTGGATAAGTAAAGAAAGGAAAAGCAGGGTGGCGTCTTGGCTTGAGTGTTGTGACTTACATTATGAGCTGGGTAGCAGCTATTGTCTGCCATAAACTCTGGGCCTAAGAGAGGCTCTTAGCCTCTCTGGTTTAATTGATACAGGGTTTTGTGTAACCTCGAACTTCTCATCCTCCGGCTTTTATGCAAGTGCTGAGATTATAAGTACGTTCTACTGCACCTCATTTATGGGGTGCTGGGGATCAAACCAAGACCTTTGTGAATGCAGGCAAGCATTCTGCTGATTGAACTATAGCTCCAACTTTCTTAGCCCCTCTCTCACTGGCGGTGTCTGGGTTCCATCTGAAATAGTCTAGGGTCATACCTCTGCTGGTACCTTCCTCTGCTCCTGACTTGGCTTCCACCTGCCCCACCTATTGCCGGATTCTCTCCTTACAGGGCAAGGTGAGAACACCTGTGGCCCTTTGGTATTATGTAAAAGCGGTTTTATTGGGTTCAGTTGACTTTCAGATTTAGGGTGGAAAGAAGGGCGAGCAGGACTAGCCGAGATGGTCTCAGCCTGTGGTAGGGAATGTTAAAAACACCACGGTTAGACAGGAGTCCATTTTGAAGAAACAGCTCCATTTTGAGAACCTTTCATTCAAAGAGTATCATGTTATGGTTTCCTCTTGCCCCACATTTTCTAGCCCTTTTGCTGGGCTCCCAAGGTAGACAAAGCCTGGCATCATTGCCTGGTACCCAAGTGTTGGAGTTCTGGTCTTGACCTGTTAGCTCCAGCAAAAGCTAGGTGGGCATGGTGGATGTCAAGGTCATCAAATGCATGGAGGGTCCTGTCATACTTTGCTTCTGTGTTGCTGTGGTAAAATACTAACCAAAACCAATCTGGGGAAGGAGAGGGCTTATAGTTCCAGGTATCATTTCCTCACTGTAAGAATCAGGGTAGGAACTGAAGTAGAACCGTAGAGAAAAGGCACTTACTTACTGGCTTACTCCCCGTGGCCTGTTCACCCTGTTTTCTCATACAATTTTTGATCACCTGCTCAGGGCTGACACTACATATAGTATGTTGGGCTCTCCAGTATCAGTCACTAATTTAGATCCCACCCATGGCCACAGATCCAGTATGATGAGGGCAGTTCATCAATTGAGATTCCCTCTTCCCAGGTGAGCCTAGTTTGTGCCAAATTGGCAAAAACCAATCAGCATGGTCTCCAGTCTACAAAGTCCACATTTGCACCTGAGTGCATGCATCCTGGTCTAGGTGTGGACCATATTCCTTTGTGTGGATAATGACAAGGAGGGTTGGAGCTCTATATGACTCTCATACAGTATGTAGTTGAGCCTCATAGCCAAGAGCTTCCACAAGTTAGTGCATGCAGTGACTTGCCCGTGACTGAGCCCAGGTTGGCTTGATTCCTATGCATTTGTTGAAGTGTAATCATTGGTTAGTTACTAGATTTATATAGGCATGTAGAGTAAGGATTAGAAGTTAAAATCTTTTGAAAATTAAGAAATTCTCTAACACTTTAATCAAGAATATAATTATATAATTGACATAATTATACTGAATGCTTAAAAGTAGCAAACTATAATAGGACCATATGTAGGTAAAGAAGTTCTGCATTTTTGTGTTAGCCTATGTCCAACAAGTTGAACTTAACCCTTTGTCCAACAGACTGGGGATGGGGCACTGTTCCCAGAGGGACCTTTTCATCCCAAATAGCTGGAACCTAAATTAAATGATTCATCAATTCAAGTCCTAGATATATTTTATCGAATTTTTTTTCATTGCAAACTAGAAGGAAAATCCAACCTCAGGTTGTTAAGTATGTAAATAATTACAGTATCTACATTGGTTGATGACCCCCCCCTTCTATTTTGCAGTCATGACAGAACCATGCAGGACATTGTTTACAAGCTGGTGCCAGGCCTCCAGGAAGGTGAGTTGAAACGCTCTCAGTTCAAGCTCATAGCTGGGGTTTTGGCTCTTGGACCCAGACCCTTTCCTCAACAGCATCTTCATTTCCCACATGTCTTAGTTCTAGATTTCTCCATTGTTTTCCTGTGATACATAGGCTGTGTTAGTCTTAGGAAACAACAAAGAATACCTCGAGATAAAATGCTGAGATCTTCAGAAGCATTTGCAATAGAATTTTATAAGCATGTAGCCAAGTACATGAAGCTTCCTGTATGTTGTGATCAATGATTTTGTTAATTTTGTATCCTGCTACTTTGCTGAAAGTGTCAGCTGTAGGAGTTTCTGGGAGGAACTTTTAAGATCAGTTATATATATTATCATATCATCTGCAAATAAAGATGCGTTGACTTCCTTCCTTCCTGTTTGTATCCCCTTGATCTCCTTCAGTTGTCTAAATGCTCTAGCTAAGACTTCATGCAGTGTATGTTCTCAATAGGTATGGAGAGAGTGGACAGCCTTGTCTTGTTCCTGATTTTAGTTGCAATGTTTTGAGTTTCTTTCCATTTAGGTTGACATTGGCTGTAGGCTTGCTATAAATTGCCTCTATTATGTTGAGGTATGTCTCTTGTATCCCTAGACTCTCCAGGACTTTTATCATGAAAAGGTATTGGATTTTGTCAAAAGCCTTTTCTAATAAGATGATCATGTGGTTTTGTGTTAAACCATTCCTGTACCCCTCTGGGATGAAGCCTACATGATCATGGTAGCTGGTCCTTTTGATAGGTTTTTGAATTTGGTTTGCAAGTATTTTATTGAGAAACTTTGCATGTTCATAAGGGAACCTGGTCTGTACTATTCTTTGTTGGTTCTTTATGTGGCTTATGTATCTGGGTAACTGTAGCCTCATAAATTTGAAGAGAGTATTGGTATTAATTCTTTCTTAAAAGTCTGGTAGAATTTTGTGCTAAAACCATTGGGTCCTGGGATGGTTTTTTTGGGGGGGCGAGGGGGAGATTTTAATGACTTTGTCTGTTACACTATGGTTTTTATGCTTGTTTAAACTTTTTATCTGATCTTGATTTGACTTTGATGTTATATATAAAGATTTTTTTTCTTTAAATTTTTTTTTCCAATTTTGTAGAATATAGGTTTTTAAAATATGTCGTATGATTCTCTGCATTTCCCTGATATTTGTTGTTATGTCCTACTTTTCCTATCTAATTTTGTTAATTTGAATCTTCACTCTCTGCCTTTTAGTTCATTTGACCCAGGGTTTGTTAAAGAACCAATTCCTTGTTTCATTTATTTTCTTTTGTACTGTGTTTTTATTTATTATTGATTTCAGCCCTAAGCTTGATTACTTCTTGCCATCCACTCCTTTTGGATATTATTCTTGTTCTAGAGTTTCTGGGTATGCCATTAAAGTTAATAATATGAGATCTCTACAATTTTTTAATATAGTCATTTAGTGCTATGAACTTACCTCTTAGAATTGCCTTCACTGTATCCCATAAGTTTGGGTATGTTGTATTTTCATTTAATTCTAAAATGTTTTTCATTTCTGTCTTGGCCCATTTTTCATTCAGTAGTGGGTTGTCAAGTTTCCATGAATTTGTAAAGTCTCTTGGATCCATTTGCTTGGAATATTTTCTCATCCTTTTACCCTGAGCTGTTGTCTGTCTTTGATGTTAAGGTATATTTCTTGGAGCAAAAGGAATGGTTCTGTTTTTTTAATCTGGTCTGTTCAGCTGTGTCTTTATTGGGAGAACTGAAGCCATTGATATTGAGAGTTATTAATGAGCAGTGTTTGTTGATTCCTGTTATTTTGTTGTAGTGTGGGTTCCCCCACACACACACACATTTGCTGGTCTGAGATTTTATATTCTGTTTTTGTTGTTTTTTTTT